GGGGGGGGGGGGGGTTTGTGTTGAGGTGCCTGGGAGGGGCGTGGCCCGGAGGGGCGTGGCCTCTGGTTCCTGTCTGCGGTTTTGGTGCTGGGACAGCTGAGGTGTCTACAGGACCCCTCCTTGTCCCGAGGCTGTCATCTGGCAGAGACATGGCGCCTCGGGCTGTGCATCATGTGTCCCTGGAGTCCCAGTGGGGATGGGGGCCCAGGGCCAGCCCAGACTGGCCTGCAAGGCAGGCCCATTGGCAGGTGTCTTCCACAGCTGCCCTCACAGGGCGGTGTGCCTGGCCCCACCTGCCCGCACACGCCATCCCCGCTGCATGTCTCCAGGGCTAGCCCACAGCTCGTGATTAGTGTGGGGCTCAGGCTCTCTCACCACTGCCAGAGCCTGAACTCCCCTGCCCATACCCACCTAGCCTTGGGTGCCCTTCCTCTCCTGCCCTGGGAGACGGGTGTGGGACTCTGGTGTCTGCCTGTGGGCCCTTGAGGGAGTTCACATGGTCTAGTCGGCCCTGGCCAGAGGAGTTGGTCCAGTTAGCTGGGGAGGTCACCGCGTCACCACTGGGGACGAAGGGTCCAGAGAGAAGACCTTGCTGCTGCCTCTGGGGTGGGCAGTAGGGGCCGTCCTCCGCATGCGAGCCGGGCGTGCCCCCAGTGACCTGCTCTGCTTTTGCTCCACAGGGCCTAGACGACTACGGGGCACGGTCTGTGAGCAGGTAAGAGGCTTCTGACTCGTCCTTGGGACCATGGTGGGCGCACCAGCTGGGGCCCCCCATCTTGGGATCGTGGTGGACACACCAGCTGGGGTCCCGTCTTGGGACCATGGTGGGCGCACCAGCTGGGCGGGCAGGTCCCCTCCCCCTGGACATCCAGGGCCAACCGTTTCTGAGAGCTCGGCCTGGCCATGTTCCCGCTGCCAGGGCGGGGCTAAGCCCAAGGGCCCACGCTGCTTTCCTGGTGACCACGCCTGTCCCATTCATGCGGCAGGCAAGCACTGACCTCTGGGGGGCCTTCTCAACCAAGGCCAGGGGCCTGGCTGCCCCGTGTCAGCCTGGCTTTTGTGCACCACCCTCTCCGGGGGCTGGGCTGGCCACAGCTGTCCTGTGCTCC